GAGATGTGTATAAGAGACAGCGTTGGAAGAAGTCCTTCGAAAACGGTCCTCTTTCCGCGGCTCGATAGAAATAAGTGTAACAAATATATACTTTATTTATAAACTCTATTTAGAAACCCTAAAATTATAAATTATAATGAAAAAATTTAACTTTAACTTTTCAATTACTTTTTTTTATTAACTTAACTTTTAACTTAATTAATTTTATTATGGACTAACTTGTATTTCAATTAAGTTAAATTTTTAGACTGTTAATTTTAACTTACAATTAGTTAAAAAAAATATTATCTTACCCAATCTTGCATATAAGATATACGACTGGTTGTGTGATAAATACTACTCAAGTCCGTCATAATTGGAACGTTGCAAATTAAGATTGTTTTATTAAGGTATAAAAGCAATCGATAATAGTTATGATGGTATACGCCGTCATTACTTACTTGAAGCGCGCCTGTCCTTGCAAAGTCTGCCGCGCAACCTGTTGTATATTGTCTAATGTTGATGCAACATGTGCCCTATACAATATCGTTTTGGACTATTTCAAAACATTAGTTTTCGAGGAAAATTTTACTAAAAGCTATAGCACGTATATACGTAACGTAAACTATAGTTTTTTTAAGTAAAATTTTTCTCGAAAGCAACGTTTTGGCCTTAGTATCCTGAGTATTCATAATGTTTCATCATGAAACTAAATCTGATCTATTGTGCTTATATGTAAAGTATTATAACTTTGAACGATAAAACTTTTTCAATTAAATCTCTTTTTCGTGTTTGTGTGTGCGCGCGCGCGCATATTATCTCTTCGATATAATTTTTATTATAATTATTTCATTTTTAGATTTGTTGACTTTCAAGTTAAAAGTTATTTTATTCAATCAAACTAAAAGCTTTTTGACAAATTAAAACAAAATTAGCTTTAACCCTTAAAGGACACCTGGGTGCGAATTCGCACCAAGCGTTTTTAAAGTTTTATATCTTCTGAAAATAAAAAGCAAAATTAAAGCAAAATGTGTGTTTCTCAATGTAAAATTTTCTGACCAATCGATTGATAATATTAACTTTTCGAAAAAAGAACGTAATTGTTTTCAAAACTTCGTGTTAAACAAAACCATTCAAAAGAGACGTAGCCTTTACGGGTTAAAGCAGCATTTTTATTTTTACAATAAGTAAGTAAGATGGGAATCGGCGTAGTTATTGGTACACAATATTTCATTTACATAAAATTTCCTTTATTCTAAAAGTCAAACGTTTCGGCTATCTTTTTTAGCCATCCTCAGTGACGATCAACAACAGTTACATTCAACTCTCGCTCTTATTTTCTTAACGTGTGCCTGTAGGACAAAAAGTAAAATTTCTGTAGCACATTGGCTTGAGTGATTTGTAACATATTAATTTGGATCAATTTTCTCCTCATTTTTACACTGATTTAAAATTTTAGGACATACAGCTAGACCTCGCAGCCCTTCAACTGCACGGGTAGCTTAGAGGTGTACTTATATAACTGCACTTCTTCACTCACTAGACGTGAAATTAGAATGCACACATTAAAAAAAGAGCGAGAGTTGAATGTACGTTGTTGAGCGTCACTGAGTATGGCTAAAAAAGATAGCCGATACGTTTGACTTTTAGAATAAAGGAAATTTTATGTAAATGAAATATTGCGTACCAATAACTACGCCGATTCCCATCTGTCTTACTTACTTATTGTATTTTTAATTCTGGGAATCTTGTTATAGGTTTTTATTTTTTTATTTTTTTAGAATTATTTTTATATAATTAAAAAATATATATATAACACATATACATATAATATACACATAAAACAGATACAAATATATTATATACATATAAGTACATATATTGATAGAGAATATATAAAATGATTTTTTTCTGTTTGTTATACAGATTAAGGCACGCTTTAGTAACGTGGGGCGATAAATTCACACCAAAGGAGGTGAATGATGCATTCGATCAGATGTACATCGACGATAAGGGTTTCATTGATACTCCGAGCTTAATTGCCATGTTAACCGGCACAGGCGAAGAAGAGGAGGAATAAGATCAATTGAAATTATATTTTTAAAAAATGTTCCTCGGTTGAAGGCCTCGTATTAACGTCAAATTCGCACAAAATTTGCCTCAAAAGAGAACAGATATTTTATATTCAATCCTTCCTCTTTCCTGTTTTCTCTCTTTTTCTTTTTTTTTTTCATGCTTCATTCAGTGACAAAAATATGACAAGGACGAAGCAACTGCTGTAGTGTTCAGTCCAAACGAACTGTTACTCATTTTCTTTCTTTCTCTTTCTCTCTCTCTCTCTCTCTCTCTTTCTCTCTTTACAGCTCTTTGTCTTTCTTTGTCTTTTTGCTATTTTTCGCTCTTCTCTAACTTTCTCTCTCGTTCTCTCTCTCTCTCTCTCTCTCGCTCTCTTTCTCTTTCTCTCTCTCGCTCTCTCTTCTTATCTATATTTCATTCTTTTTCTCTATCTTTTCTTATTTATCTCTCTTTTTTCGCTCTTTCTCTTTATATTTCTCCATCTAATATTTCGCTTTTGATTTTCTCTCTTGTTCCCCCTCTCTCTATTTCTCTATCTCTCTTTCTGTATTTCTTTTTCCCTCTCTCTTTCTTTATCTGCCTTTATCTTCGTGCTCTAGTGAACATTGCTGATTCCAGAAGAAACAACGAGTCCGAGAAAAGCAATAAATTCTCCCAACACAATTCACCCACGTGTACGAAATCATACGTCTGTCGATAAATAAAGTTTCATCCTACCCTCTTCTTGTTTACATATAATAAAAATATTAATTCTTTACTTTAATAAAAATAATTAAATTATTCTGTAAATGGAACTCATCATGGTCTCGAGTCACCATTCTGTCAATAAAATTAATTTAGCCTTTCAATTTATAAGAGATGAACATTTAGACATTATATACTTGCCATCTCAGTAAAATCTGAACACGGCAGTTTGAATCCATTTAAAAAAACACACATTATCATACGTATATTTGCTGCTTCCATTTTTTTTATAAAGATATTTCATATTACGTTCTGTATATTCTGTAAACAAAATGGAAATCTGGAAAATACATCTTCCTGTATTATTAATGTAACATGTAATATATAATAAAGGAATCATTGATCGCGAGACTATTTTTTTATAATTTAGAATAAATATTTAATACAAGTTAATTTATAAAAATTTCGAACAAAAGAAAATTTACTTTTTATTCTGCACAAAGTAAGTAATTATTCCATAATTTCTTATTATATGTGAAACATATATATTTGTTAATAAATATTTGAAATACATAAACATTTGTCGACCACCGCCATTTATGGTTCGCCCAGAATTATTTGAAAATCCAATGCGTTCTGTGCATCTTTGTTAATGTTAAGCGCCCACAAGCTGCATTCTACTGTCACTAACCTAAATGCTAAAAAAAACATTGTATTAATGAAATGCAATGTTTGTTAGTCATAAAAAGATTAGTGACCATAATTGCAATTTATTGTATATGTATATATACATATACGTTATATATTGCGGAAAAACAATTTTGCTGAAATATCTAAAAATTTAGCTAAGTACAGATCTGAAAATATTATATATACTTTTATTTGGTCTATTAAAATGATGTAGACACTCAATGTGCGATGATTGCTAGAAGCTATTAAAACTTTTTACAGCATTATTGTCATTAACGCTTATAAGTGCAAGGATCGATAAAATTATATTGATGTAACTTATTTAAAATAACAAATATATAAAATAAATTTCAGAAACTTATTTAAAATAAAATATCGCAGGGACCAGTAAAAAACTGATGCGACTTATTTAAAATAAAAAATACGAAAGAGATTTCAAAAACATATTTAAAATATTAAATAAAAAATAGATCATAAGAAATTATTTAAAATAATAAATACTAAATAATTTTTTTTTCATTTAAAATACATATTTTAAATAATGTTATTTTAAATATAACCAACTTCTGCAAGTATTTTACATAATTATTTTGATATTAATCTAAAAAAATGATAATTAATCTAAAAATTATTTTGATATTCTAAAAAAATGATGATTAATCTAAAAAAAGTATTTTCAAATCTATATCTAGCTAAATTTTTTTAATTTTTTAACAAAACCCGTTTCATGTAACTACTTCACAAAATTTGATCAAATCTTCTCAAAATATCACGAAATATTTCGATATAATTATAAAATGAAATAATTATAAAACGAACAAATACATATAAGATGATTGATAAGATGTAACGCAATGCTTGTAAATAACGTAAAATTAAATTGATTGTGAGTAGAAAAATCTTGAACAGTTGCAATTTTCGTAATAAATTAAAAAATAGTTAATAAAGCTTAATTACAAATAAGCACGTATTCAGTAACATGATTCAGTAAATGTAAACGCATAGTAATAAAAAAGACAGCTTAACATTCATGATTGCTATACATGTGGCAAGATGTTAGAAGGAACGCACATCTAGCAATCATAAATCATAATACGTAAAACACCGGGCTATTTTGCTAAATCACGCAGATACATACCCATTCACAGATTTTTATTAACTAATTTCTCATTAATTATTACAAAAATCATAAAACAGTATAAGGTTTTTTGCTATTTATTAATTTAATTCACTTTACCTACCCACGAGCGGTGTTAAATTTACTATCAATTAATTATACTGTAAAAACAAATTTTTATTTTTTATTTTACTATATTTTTCTACTTTATATAATCAAAGAAATATATCAGGGACATTTCGTGTCAAGCTGCAAGTCTCTCCTTCCAAAAATTGACGCAAAGAAAAAAATGTTTGAAGTCTCAAAATATTTGTATATATTTGTGTAGTTTCGAGTAAAACATGGCCTTTGAAAAATTCAATATGATGGTTGAAGTATGGCGCTTAAAAGTCGCAAAAATCACGAATAATCTTACAGCATCTTCGATTAAAATACGAAAACTTCAGCAATCGGAAAAATGATTACTATAAAAATGATTACTATAAAATTTTCGAGATCATTGATTACCAATTTAAAAACAGAATTACGAAATTAAAAATGACGGATTTAAAATGACCGAATTTGGAATCAGTTTATAAAGCGTATCATATAATTGTTATATCGAATGTAATACTCCACAATGACCACTGGTTCAACGGTATCAGAGAAGCACATTTGCAATTTTTTTCTTTAACAGCAAGGAAAGCATGTTCAGAGATTTTAGATTTAGTTGCAGAGCTGCAGAAGATTGTTTTGCAAGAAAATTTTTAACTTTCATATATTTCTCTTTGCTTTTCTTGTTGAAAAAATTGCAAATAATATGCTACTCTGATGTCGTTCAACCAGACCAATCAAAACAAAGTTCACTAAATTTGAGATTGGTTTTCTTTCTTCTAATTGGTTAAATCCCAATTCAATCTCAATTTCAATCTTTAGACTCGACATAACGACAATTATAGTACGTTTTATATAATGATTTCAAATTCGGTCATTTTTAATCCGCCATTTTTAATTTTGTAATTCTGTTTCTAGATTTGTAATCAATTAACGACTTCGAAAACTTTACAGTAATCATTTTCAAGCCGATTTCTGCAGTTTTCGCATTTTAATCAAAGTTACGCACTGCAAGATCATTCGTGATTTTTGCAATTTTTAAGCGCCATATATTTCAGCCGCCATAATGAATTTTTCAAAAGGCCATGTTCCCCATTCGAAACTACACAAGTATACGAATATTTTGAGACCTCAAACATTTTTTTTTTTTCATTACGTTATTTTTAGAAGGAGAGATGGCCTGCTTGACGCAAAACGTCCCATCAATGAATACATTTTTTAAATAATAATTAGCTTCTAGGTAATTATATATTTTCTATTTTTGAAACATATTTGAATATAATTTTGTAAATTATTATACATATCGTAATGATTTACATGTGATGTTTTTAAAACGCAGTGCGACTACTGGTGCCAAATAATCTGATTGTCCCACAAACGGGAAATATTCCACAGAAAAGCCAGGATTTGGTAAGTACTCAATTTCTCCGACGTGCTCTTTGTCAACATTATTCACTCCGTCGCACCATAACCAGACTTGAAACTATTTCATTATTTTTAAAACGATTAGAGGATTCCCAGAAATAATATGAAATATCATAGGCTAATGTGAATCTGCGCGGTAATTGTTGCGCAAAGTTATTTATAATTGTTACCAATGTCCAACCATATACAGACCGTGCGCCGCAATTTTTGTCTTGAAACACAATCCTTTTACATATCTAATACCGAAATATACTTGTAACTAATTAAATTGACGAACAATTTAATATCATTTGATACTAATAAGCATTTATAAGAATCCCCTCTCCCTAAATTTAATTTTTCGCAACAAATTCTTTACAGATTTAGGGGAAGGGGATTCTTATAGATACTTATTAGCATCAAATGATATTAAATTGTTCGTCAATTTAATTACTTACAAGTATATTCTTTTATGTAAAAGGATTGTGATTCAAGACCGACAAAAATTGCGGCGCGCAGTCTGCATGGTTGGACATTGTAACAGTTATACAACTTTGCGCAATTACCGCGCAGATTCCCATTAGCTTATGATATCTCATATTAATTAATTATTGCAAAATAAATTATTGTGTATACATATACATTAGGGTGGACCTTATTTATACTCGGTGACAAATTTTTTCCGAATTTTTTTCACGACGCCCCCTAAAGTTGTTCCATTAATTGGTGAAAAATAATTGTATAAAAGTTAAGCTCGATCGGATAACGGAAAGACGTGGCACAATCCTGTTAAAGTTGAAACAAATATTTTTTTCAAAAAATGAGGAAATTCGATGAAAAGAATTCTGAATAAAGATTAAATAATTTTCTTAGTAAATGTTGACCATGATAGTATGTTTTTTAACAAATATAGTATATTTAAACTGTATTTTAAGAAAATATATCGTATATATAACATACGTATATACGAAATATATCGTATTTTTATATTTATAAGCAAGCAGGAAAATAAAGATATCAATATATTGTTTGCATCTATATATTTTTCAATCTATTGTAATATTTAAATCTATTGTAATTTTAT